GCCTGCCAGCTGTTCATAAGCTCGGACATAATACCCACATAATTTCTTAGCCCCTTTGCTGGATGGATAAAAAGCTTTTTGAAAAATGTCCAACGAACACTTTGAGATACGAGCCAAACTGTGACCTTTTCGTTTTTATTTTAGTTGCTGGGGGCACAACCTTTGCGTTCGTTGTTGGCCTAGTTTCAAATTAAGTGGCACAAACAATAATAAAACCAAATATTTTAACCTTAAATTTTTTTAGACGTTTGTTTTTGCTTCTTTTTTTTTTTTTTGCCTCATGCCCGCCCACATTTATTTGCGTGCTGGCGAAGGTTATGAAAACGCAGCCAAGCTAGAAAAATGTGCGCATTGTCTCAACGGCAGCAACAGCAAGGACAATAAGGATGCTGGCACACGTGAGAAACTGCACAATGGTCGTTAGGTAGCCAGGCAGCCAGCTAGCAAGGCAGCCAGGCGGGAAAACTTGTGTCGCCGTCTGTGATTAAAAAGCAGCTAAAACATTTGATTTTCATTTTGAAACACTTGTTTTAGATACTCTATGAATGTTTAAAGGGAAAGAGACAGCATGCTGAGGAAGAAGATGAATAGAAATTAAACATAATTTATATATAAATCTATTTTTAGACCTTTATTTATATGCGCTGAAAAATGTCTATCCAATCACATCTATTATGGAGTCATACACTAAGAAATTTCTAAACACGAATTATTACTGATGCACAATATTTTAGAAAATGATATATTCTCCACTTTTATCTACTATACTATACTATACTATACTATGCTATACTATACTACACTATATAAAATACATAATATTCTTTCAGCTTCTGCAATATTGTCTTTATACTATTTATGGCATATAATACAAAAAAATTCATTTATATTTTAAAGTTATATTGTATGGCTAATCTATAACAGGATATTTAGCCATAATACTATTAAGTATTTATAATCCAATAATATTTCATATATTATTATTATATATTAACTACTTGACTTCTTTTCCCATCTTTCATTCCTTTTTAATAAGAGTATTTAATCACCGTTTTAAGGTTTAACTAGCTGTGCTTTCTAAATTTTTTAACTAACTTTCATCAACTGATTTACGCTTTATGTGTGTGTGTGTGTGTATGTGTCTGTGCTACGCGCAGCCATTTTCATTTGCAGCTAAAGTTTAAGGTCCTTCATACATAAATAAGCAGTAAGCAGGCGGCGTCGCCTCAAAGTGCGAGGCAAACAGCAGCAGCAGCAGCAACAACAACAACAACAACAGCAGCTAAACGGACATGACACCCACTACAACGGCGCTCTTCAAAAGCGACCAACAGCAACAACAACAACAACAACAAGAACGACGAGGCGACAACACTCATCAAGAACGGCCAAACACGGGCGATAAAAACAAGCGCAACAAGGACTTGAGTCTCGAGTTCTGCTCTCGCCTCTCTCTCTCTCTCTCTCTCTCTGTCTCCCTCTCTCGCTTAGCTTCACATACACTGTCTCGCTCTGTCGCACTTGGCCAACATGACACATCAGGACAACAGCTAGGACGAAGGACGACGAGCACAAGTCGCGCCTATTCGCGTTCGCCTGCGTGTGTGTCCTTTTCGCCAGTGTGCCACTGTGGCAGTCAGTCATGGGCTCTGGCACATAATTAAGGACGTCGCCCAACAGCAACAACAACAAGAGCAGTCAACAAATGAAAGTTAACCGAAAAAAAATGAAAATATGCATGCAAATGTCGCACGCGTAAATACCCTAACCGTGTTGGTAAAGGGTATTTAAAGGACTTAGCTTCTTCTGGAGTGTATTATCTATATATAACTTCGTTGTTTATCTATTCAATTAATTAATTAATTAACTGATATTATTATAAGCAGTCCGAGCCCTAGTTGGGCTTTAACAATGATCGATAAATATTACCAGAAACTTTTAAAAATGTTTTATAGTGTTTATTTACTGAT